TCTCTTTTCCTATTTGCAACTCCATCAAGTCTTAGAGCAGCCAGTAGACTACACAGAAAGTGGCTCCTTTCCATCTAATCCACTGTATTCATCTCCCTTGCTTTTATGGTTTCCAAAATATTATGTTTGTTTATTTTCAGTCCCTCCCACTAGAGTGCTCATGTTGTTCCCTGCAGATCCTGGAATAATGCCAGGCTGCAGTGTGGACTGGAGGGCAGGACGAAGCAAGGGGAACAGTTTGGAGGTTGCTGCAACAGTCCAGAGGAGGCCTGAGGGCGAGGAGGAGACCTGGTTCATGTTTTGAAAAGACTGACTGGTGTGCATGGACTAGTTGGAAAGGGTGGGGTTGCAAGTAGGATGGCCAGTTAAGCACCTGTGTTAGCAACACCGCTGGCACATGGTGGAGGCTCAGACCACGTCACAGAGAAAGTGAGGTAAGTGTAGGATAGAGGAGGGATTTCTAAAAGTTCATGGAATAAAAATATGAGTTTATTTTGGTGCAGAACAATTTGGAACCCATGCATAGTTTTTTTTTTTCATAGTATGCATTTTCCATGGACCCTTTATATATATTCTAGAAAAAAAATCACCTGAATGGGTTGGATAAGGAGGCCTAGGGTATGGGGAGAGGTCCCTTAGGTTTCTAAAGTATAACTTGCTTTCAGATGATAACATAAATTATGTACCAAATAGTTGTGAATTATTACTTAATCTGAGTTGTTGATAAACCATCTGCTAAATTCTAGGAAATGTAAAATGAGGCTAAATGTAATAGCGTTTTATTTTATTTCTTCATGATATATATTTATAAATCTGTCTATTGAATAAATCAAATGTCTGCAGCCTTTGTTTTCTAAATATGATCTGTACCTAAAAACATATGGAAGAGTAACTTTTCCAATTATGGGAAAACTATCCTAGCTAACACCCCAACCAATCCTCCCTCATACTGAAACAGTTAACTATGTAACAGTGCCCTAAAAAGCTCAATATAATAAGAAGCTTTGGGGTTGGCAGGTGTCATGGTGGTTAAGACACTGGACTTCCACATGGCTGACTGTGATTCAAGTCCTGGACCTGGAGGCTTGCTTTCTCACTTTCCCTTTTTCTCTCACTGTCTCTCTTTGGTCAATTAAATAATAATAATAATAACAATAAATAAAATTAAATAAATAATTCTTTAAAAATTATAATAAGTTTCAAAAGTGCTAATTGCATATTAGTTAACACAGGACCTTGTTAGTGGGTAGGTTTCAGCAGAGTCAATGGTGATACTGAGCCTCCAATGAAACCGATGATTCCATTTCCTGCTACACTGCTGAGAACACGTGAAACAGCAGGTTACGTACTAAAGCTACATCCAAATTGGACCCAAGTTATTAGTGCCCCTGGGTGGCAGGCAGAGGATCATTCTGGGACTATGAAGGGCAACATCTCCAGGATGGTATGACAAAATTGAGTGTCCTGAGCCCTGGTCGCTGTTCAGGAGGTGGGAGAGTTGAGCTTGGTCTAAATCTTGCCAGGACTTACACCAGGTTTTTTTTGTTTGTTTGTTTGTTTGTTTTTGTTTTGTTTTGTCTTTTTTTTTTTTTTTAAATCGTTTAAACATTCAGTCTAGCACATTTTTAGTTAGGGCAGTGAATTTTGGGTAAACATTTTTTTCTTGCTACAGCAAATCTGCTAGAACTATAGCCATCCCAGGGTATGCACAGTTGTTTGTAGGCTCATCCCTGGTTGTGCATTTCGCTTAGCTGCATCTGGGAAGAATGCAGTATTCTGGTTAATGAAGCATTCTGGACATCTTGAGGATAAATATGTTCACACTGGAACCCTGAGTATTTACTATAACGAAATGAAGTTGGGTGCATTCTCGCTCTCTCTCTTTTTTTTTAAAGAATAATTTTATTTAACTTTATTTATTATTATTATTTTAAATCTGACCAGAGAGAGACACACAGAGAGACAGAGAGAGGGTGAGTGAGAAAGCAAGCTACCGGGTCCAAGACTCAAACCATTCTGCCATGTGGGAGTCCAGAGCCCTTAACCACCAGGCCACCTGCCAGGCCCTGGGTGCATTCTCTTAAGGCACAGAGAGAATGTGTAAAGAAAGGTTTCATGTTTCCCTTCTCCTCCAGAACAGGAAGTCAGCTATTTTTTCCCAGTGAAAATTAAGGAGAAAGAGGTTTTCAACAATATTTTGTAATCTCAAGATAAGGTATTAGTGATTTATAAATCATGATAATATGTGTTTACAAAGATTCTAGAGGATTCCAGGGCTTCTAAACCCCACACCAATGTACATACATCAGTAACATATAAGCATAGTGCCCATTTTACAAGCCAAACGTGTCAGTCAGTATGACCTTGCCCTGAGAGAAAGTATTTCAGTCAGGCCCAATGTAAAAATCCAGGATATGTTTGCAGGCTCAAGAGCTTCTTAAGCAAAACACCACTTCAGAAGTCTCATATTCCAAGCTTTGTGTTTCCGACTGCCAATTATTAGCATAAAAATATCATTCAAGAGGAACTTCTAAAGCTTTTTATTTGGTCTGAAAATTTCTCATAAGCCCCAGGTTTCAAGGCTGTATCTCCTAAGCCTTGAAAAATCTTCCTGCAGCTGGGACCAGAAGTTAGCGTAATGGTTATGTCGCTGGACTCCCATGTAGTTGACTGTGGTTTGAGTCCTGGACCCAGTGACTTAAACTCACGCTGGGCAGGTGTGTGTGCGTGCCCAAGATCCCAAGAGGAGAATGGAGGAGAAGGGATTGCGGTGTGGCCATCCCCCCTGGGAGATGATTTCTCACTTTCTGTCTCTCTCTGTCTTTCTGGTGAGCGCATGTGCCCTATAGCAAAAACCTCTCCAGAAAAAAAGAAAAAAAAAAATCTTCCTGCAGCTTCCTAAGTTACCTGCCCCTCTGTAATGCCTTCTGCCTCAGGATTCATTGCAATCTTTTTTCTTTTTTCTTTCTTTCCTTTACCTTTTCTGTTTCTCTTTCTTTCCTTTTTCCTTTTTATCTTTTCTTCTTTCTTTTCTTTTGTCATAAAACTTTTTTGCCATTTATATTATGTTGAAGAAATACTATATAATAGTTTCTTTCTTTCTTTTTTTTTGGTCAGGGTGAATACTTACGATTGTGGAGAAAAAATTTCAAGCTGGTTATCAAAATTTTTTGGCCGTCCATGTCATTTAATCAAGCAAAGTTCAAACTTCCAACGAAATGCAAAGAAGAAACATGGAAAAGGTATCACATTTTAACTTGGTTCTTAGAAGACAGGAACCTTGGCTTACCCTTGCACACATCTGAAATAGCCGAGGAATTGGATTTACACAGCAGCCCGTTCTTGTGAGGAAATCAGGGACGGTCAGCCTTCGCACAGAGCTGCTGTGATGGCTCCAGATCAGCTATTTGAGGGGACATCAGGATCTTTGTAGGGAGGCTGAGGAGAGCATAAGCCACATGCCTTGGCTCTGGCTCAAAAGGTCAGCCCAGGGGCCAGAAGGGTGGTTAAGGTGGTAGGTTCTCACATGGTCCACTGTGATTCGAGTCCCAGATCTAGCAGCTTGAAAAATCATGTCAAGTGCATGTGTGGGTGTTCCCGAAATCTCAGAAGGAGAAGGAATTGTGGCGTGGCCATCCCCCGAGGGGTGACTTCTCATTTTGTCTCTCTGTCTCTGTTGAGTGTACACACTGTATGACAAAACAAACTAAACTAAACTAAAATTTAAAAAGTTCAGCCTCAATCCTCAGTGTTCAGAAGTATAATTCTGTTCTATTAAATAAAATCAGTAATAGCTTGCTATGTCCTAAGATAGATCCTAAAACCATGAGACCTGGGTGGCTAACTTTTAGCTCTAGCACCAAATAGTGGTGAGTTCCTGGCAAATCCTTGAACTTCACTGTGCCTCAACTGTACAGCCGAGCTATCAGATTTTTAAAAGCATTGACCTTTACCCCATCGTAAGTCAATACGAGGATGAAGTGAGATGGCAGAAAAGAGAGTACCTTGAAAGTTAACTGTCCCATATGTGCAGATCACTTTCAAGTGTTGCTCCAATGTGGCTTCTCAGGGAACCTTGCCTGAGCACCTTCGTTAGATCTGCAGCCTGGGTCTGAACCTCTGGAGCAACCTTCCCTGTTTTATCTTCCTATGTTGCACCTTTCATGTTCCCCTGATTACTATATTGTGCATTTAAAAAAAAGAATTACTTAATTTTATTAATTATTATTATTACTTTAGCTTTTTGTTAGAGGGCATGTGTATGTACCAGAGAGAAAAAGACAGAGATAGACAGAGAAAGTGAGAAGCCAATCCTTAGAAGGGATGGCTATACCACAGTCACTTCTCCAGTCTCTTCTTGGGATTTTGGGTGCTCATGTACATACACTCAGAATGATTTTCAAGCCACCAGGTCTGGGACTCAAACCACAGTCAGACCAGCCCAGCACCCCAACCTCTATACTACTCGGTGGTCCAATACTATTTTTAATCTGACCAAAGAGAGAGAGGGAAAGTGAAAAAGACACCAGGTCTGGGACTTGAACCATGGTTGGCCATATGGGAGTCCAGTGCCTTAATCACCACACCACCTGCCTCCCCCTTATGCATTTATTTTATGTTCTGCTTTCCTTTTACTAGACTCTAAGCCCATGAGGACAGGGATTGTTGTCTGTTTTCCTCATTGCTGTATTGCAGTGTTTAGAACAGCACCTAGGCTTAGTAGTGGCTCAGTAACTGATAGATGGATGAATAAGTGGATTATTGTTATGCTACCATTTTGTCCAGGGTGACCTGGCCTAGTGACCAGCTCCCAGAGAGATTAGTTTGTCAATCCAAATAGTATTTTGACCATTTACAAACTGATAACTGGGTTTAGGAAGCTGCACAGGTTAACCCAAATCCCTGAAAATGTATCATATATGGAATCAAAGGATGTAATCTACTTAGATGTTTTAAAGTTTTGATGATTTTGGTACCAGCAGATGGCATAATGGTTACATTGCTGGACTCCCTCATAGTCAACCATGGTTTGAGTCCTAGACCAGGGACTTAAAACTCATGCTAGACACATGTGCATGCTTGCCCAAAATCCCAAAAGAAGAATGGAGGAGAAGGGATTGCAGTGTGGCCATCACCCTGGGGGAATGATTTGATTTATTCCCTTCTGTCTCTCTGTCTCTGTCTCTTTGGCAATCACATGTACCCTATAGCAAAAATCCTAAAAAAAAAAAAAGTTTTGATGATTTCTTGTGTCATATACTGTGATGGAGAAGGGGAATAAATTTATGCTCATTTTCTTGAGATTATCTGGTGTGTTTGGGTGTTAGGGTGTGGATAAGTATAGAGACATGGTTAAAGGGAGAGGGCAATAGGCATTTCCATGAGTAGTGATGTGTAAGGAGTGGCATTTGGATCAGTGGCACCCTTAGAAGTTACCTAGAAAGGGAGCGACAGTGAAATCTCGAAGTTTTAATTTATAGCACCTGCTTCCTACCTGGGGCTCTCCTGGCTGGCAATGGGTTGGGTGAGATTATTTAGCCTTGGTCCTAGTCCTTGGGAGCCTCTGGTGTGATGACTCACTGGCAGATAGCAGCACTACAACAGAAAGGATGTTATAAAGGTCTGTGCAAAGGGCATGGACATGTGGGAGAATCTACTTCATGGAGTAGGTGAGTCTGGAGCTATGTGGGAAGGCCCCTGGGGAGTAGAGTGGTAGGGCTTGGCATTCCTGGGCTCAGAAAAGGGTCGTATGTGGGCAGAGGAGTAATGGGGGAGACCGGGGAAGGGAAGGAGTGTGCCACCCAGGACGCAGTGCTTTATCACATGGTTGTGGGACCTGTTGGAGAGTGCTAAGCTGGGGCAGTTCATGATGATGTTCAGGTACAAAGATACTCCTGGCTGCATCATAGCAGGAGACTAAGGAAGCAAAAAGGCTTAGCAGGAGGTGGCTGGGGCTTGTCCTAGTGGGAGCTGGGGGCCCAGAACCTGCACATGGAGGATCAGGGAGTATCAACTTAGGGCTACAAGTATGCCCTCTGGGGTGCAGAAATCTCTAACGGTCTAGGCCACTCTAACATGTTCACATTGGTACACCCCAGAGGGATTTAAAAAGCAGTTTAAATAGGAGGCCAGCAGATGATGTAGTGGTCACATTACTGGACTCCCACATTTCCAATTCCAGTCCTGGACTCAGTAGCTTGAAACTCATGCCAGGTACGTGTATGTGCCCAAGATCCTGAGAGGAAGTGGAGGAGAAGGGATTGTGGCATGGACATTCTCTTGGGGGGAGGGTTATTCTCATTTCCCTCTCACTGATTCTGTCTCTGTTTCCCTCTGGTGAGCACCTGCACCCTAAGGCAAAAACCTCTTAAATAACAAAGAAAATCATTTAAATAGTTGCAAAGGATACAATTTCCAGCACACTGTAAATATTGTTCTTTTAAATTAAAACTCAGGAGATGAGCAGATGGCATAATGGTTACGTTGCTGGACTCCCACGTAGTTGACCATGGTTTGAGTCATGGATCAGGTGGCTTAAAAAAACTCAGACCAAGGACTTATGTGTGCATGCCCAAAATCCCTAGAGGAGAATGGAGGAGAAGGGATTGCGGGGTGACCATCCCTCCAGGGGGTGATGATTCCTCACTTTCTGTCTCTCTGTCAAGCACATGAACCCTATAGCAAAACAAAACAAAACAAAACAAAACAAAAAAACTCTAAAAAAAAAAACTTATATGGTACCCTTTCCCTTTCCTCTTTTTTTTTTTTTGCCAGAGACTGCATGTGCTTGCGTGCATGTGTGTGCATGCATGTGTGAGAAAGAGGGAGAGCAAGAGTGAGAGAGGAGAAGCAATCCCTAATAGGTCACGGTCATGCCACAATAATTTTCCCTCCATTTGCCCTGCCCGCCAGGTCCTGGACACTCACGCACATGAGACCAGAGTGTTTTCAAGCCACCTCAACCAGATTCAAACCATGGCTGGCCAGGTGGGGTCTTGCTCCTAAAACACTGTACTATCTGCTGCACCATGGGGCTGGCCCCTGTAGCCTTTCCAATAGAGCCAGTGAGATCTTAATACCACTGCAATTTGAATCGCAGGAGTAGTCAGTTTAAAAATATGTGTATGGGTCCAGCTGTGTGGCACAAATAGGAGGGTGCTGCTGAGTACTGGCCAAGGCCTCATTTGGGTACAAGGTTTGGTTCCCAGCCCAACCTGAGCAAGCCAGGCATGGACCATGCTTATAGTCCTAGCTGGATGCAAGGAGGGGGCAGGCGGATCCCAACATAGAGAGACCCTGTGTAAAATGCCTGCCTCTCTCTCTCTCTCTCTCTCTCTCTCTCTCACTCTTATTCCTTCCTCTTTCTCCCAGCCACACACTTTCTCTCATTGAAAAAATAAGTACATAAAAAATAAATATATGAGGAAACAGTCTTTTAATGCTCAGAAATTTAATTTTTTTCCTTTTTTTTTTTGAGAGGTTTTTGCTATAGGGCGTGTGCGCTTGCAGACAGACAGAGAGAGACAGAGAGACAGAAAGCGAGAAATCCCCCGCCCCAGGGGGATGGTCACACTGCAATCCCTTCTCCTCCATTCTCCTCTTGGGATCTTGGACATGCATGTGTAAAGTTGTTAAAAAAAATTTACTGTGATCACTGGAGTCTAAATATCAGGCAATTTCTTGTAGATTGAATTCTTACCATAATTTTTAATAGTACAAAGTTGATTGAAAGCAATGTAAGTATTAACAACTTTGAAAAGTTATTCCCCATGACAAGAAAAAATGATTGAACGTGGATCTTTTATTGAGATGGCTGAAATCTCTATCCTTGGTTCCCACATCCACTAATGACTGTCACTATGGCTGGAGTAGCTGGTGCTCAGGGACAGATCTCCTCTGAGAACCCTTGTTAAAGAAAATAAAGAGCAGGGAAGGAAGGAGTTTGGTTAACGCACTGTCACTCAAACCTTTCTCCTGAGCTGCGTGACCGAAGCACTGAAATCTAAGATTAAGACAACTTTAATCTTCAGTCACTTGACAACTTAATTAGGTTCTGTGGTTTTATAGACAGAAAAAAAAAAAAAAAAAAACGAATCCATCGGACCAACAGAAAGATCAGTCACCCGAGGTTTAGAGACTTCTGTTTTCTCAGCTTGGACCCCCCGGGGTTTGAATAGTGCTTCTGTTTTCAGCCTTAGAGACCCCTAACGCCCAGGGAGTTTGTTTGAGGAGACCCTTGGCCTTTCCTCTGTGAAGTGGGAAAAGGCCTTTGCAGGGGGCTGAGGTGCTGGGATTGCACCTTTCTTCTCTGGCAGAGCCATTTTAGCAGAGGCTATGTGGAAGTGGAGGATCTGGAAAGGGCGTCTTTTTAAAGGATTTCTGTTTTCTACTGTGGATCCACAGACTGCGATTGGAGACTATTCCGCGGGCTCTGGCTTAGCCAAACTTTCCCGCCAGCATCTCGGATGAGCAGAGTGAGGGCGGGCCCAGCAAGTGGGAGAGGAAGACCAGGGATAGGCTGCAGCCATTCCGAATGCACGTGATATTTCTTTTAATAGGCTTTGAACGTCTTCTATTTATTCCTAAAATCAGTATCTCACACTTGCCTGGGAGCGAATGTTTTCTCCCTGATTAGAAGAGCTTCCTGGGAGACCAGCAGATGGCGTAATGGCTACATCGCTGGACTCCCACACGGCTGACCCTGGTTCCAGTCCCAGACTGACAGCTGGAAACAGACACCAGGCACCGGTGCGCCTGCCCCAAGATCTTCAGAGGAGATGGAGGAGAAGGAATTGTGTTGTGGTCATCTCTCCTGGGGGTGATTTCTTGCTTTCTGTCTCTCTGGCGAGCACATGCAACTTATAGCAAAACTCTCTTAAAAACAAAACAAAACAAAACAAAACAAACAACTTCCTGGGCTTCCTGGGCCTGCTGCCCTACCTGCCTCCTCAGCCCTGCTCTGTCCTGAGAGAGGCATAGCCCCCTCCACTTCCACCTTGTCTCCCCTCTGAATATTGCCTCCAAGTCTTTGCTGGAACAATTTCACCTCAGCATTTTCTTATTGTTACTTTCTCCAGATTATTTTAAACAGTATTCTAAGAACTCATTTCCCTTTCTGTTTCTGCAAGTTTTGAGCTGTGCTTAGATAATTTACAATGCTGGTCAGGGCATCCCTTTCCTCCCTTGTAGAAATATACTCCACTTTTTAAAACATGCAAGCCCATGGAAACGTGATTCATTTATTCCAAGAAAGCAACTCTTCTTTCAAATGTTCCATCATTTTCAGATCAGTCTCCTGGTACAACGGCCGCCCTTTCTCTGGTGAATGAGGCACAGTACCTGTTGATAAACAGATCAAGTGTTCTGGAGCTTCAGCAGCAACTGAGCACCAGGTAAGATCCCTTCTCTCAGGAACGGAGACCAGTAAAGGTGCCGCTGGCACCGAGGTGAGGAGGAAAGGTCAGAGACTGTGGAGTCTAGTCCCTTGGTTTACAGATGAGAAACCCAGGTCTCAAGAAGTCAGCAAGCCCTTTCGGCCAGTTTCCATTCATCTTTTGTTTTCTAGTGGTCCTTCTTGACACTCTGAAGATCCTAAGTGAAGAATCCATGTGCTTCCTGGTGATAGGAAGAGGGAGAAAGAGAAGAGAAAGCAGGAAAGCACCTCCCTGTGGGGGATGATCATGCCACCATCTCTTCTTCATCTCCTTCCCTTTGGGATCCTTTTCCTTTCAATCCCAGAACATTGCCTTTGGTCTCAAGGGCAAATTCTTGCCATGCTTAAGGATTTTTCTTACCCATCCTCTCACCAACTTAAAAAAAATTAAAAAAAATTTTTATTGATGTACAACAAAGTGAAAAAATAGTAAATTTATGACTCACTGAATTTTTACAGATACATATACCCATGTCTCTATTACACAGATTAAGTCAGGAATGTACCCTGGAAATCCTCCCTTGTACCCTCTCTCAGTTAACCCTACCAAATATCGCCACTAATTTTTTTTTTTAAGTTTTTGTTATTGGGTGCTCGTGCTCCAGAGAGAGAGAGAGAGAGAGAGAGAGAGAGAGAGAGAGAGAGAAAGAGAAAGAGAGAGAGAGAGAGAGATGAAGAGAGGGAAAGTGAGAAATCACTCCCTAGGGGGGATGGCCATGCTGCAATCCTTTCTCCTCCATTCTCCTCCTGAGATTTTGGACATGCACGCACACATGCCCAGCTGCCGGGTCCAAGACTCAAACTGCTGTCAGTTATGTGGGAGTGCAGTGTCTTACTACACCACCTGCTGGCCCCACAACCTAACTTTTTTTTTTTCTTTTTTTAAATCACAGATTGGGTCATCTGTTCTTGAATTTAATATAATGGGGTTAGCTGGTTGCAGTAGCATGCATTTATAGTCTCAGTTCCTGAAAGGAGGCTGAGGCAGGAAGATTCTGTGTTCGAGGTGAAGCTCGGTAACCTAGTGAGAATTTGTCTCTACAAATTAATGATAACAATAATAATGGGATCATGCAAAATGTGCTCCTTTGTTGGAGAAGGTTTAAGACATGTTCTCAGTGCGTTCCTCTGGATGGGGGTAGCAGATATGTGAAGGTACAGAGGACCATTTTGCGAACCTCATGGTAGTCAAAAAAAATTTTTTTTGGAGAGGTTTTTGCTATAGGGCGCGTGTGCTCGCCAGAAAGACAGAGAGAGACAGAGAGACAGAAAGCGAAAATT